AGTAAAAGATAAAGAAAAAAATCAAATTGGCTAGAGATTAATCAGCTCATATGAAATTCATAAGAAACTGAAGAAAATTTTATAAAATCCACAGAAGCTAAAGTAGAACCTTGAGTTAACCTTATGAGAATTTATAATCAATTTCTGGAACAGATTTGAAATTCTTGTTAGGTGCCATTGAGTTGAGTACAACTCATAGCGACTCTATGAACAAAAGATCTGAACCCAGTCCTATTCTGTGCCATCCTCACAATTCCTGACACATAAGAGCCCATTGCAGCAGACACCTTGTCAAGCCACTTGGTTTAGAGTCTTTGTCTCCTCCACTGGTCCTCCACCCTTCCCCACATCATGTCCCTCTCCAAGGAATAGCATCTTCTAGAAATACGTCCAAAGTATGTGAGGTAAACCCTCATCATTCTTGCCTTCAAAGAGCACTTTGGTGCACCCTCTCCAAGACATATCTATTCATTCTCTTGGACATCCATGGGATATTCGGTACTCTTCCCCAACACCACAACTTAGAGGCATCAATTATTTTTCTCTCATTCTTACTCACTGTCCAGGTCTCAGATGCATAACTAGTAACTAGAAACGTGTCTGAAACAAGTGCACCTGAGTCCTCAAACTGATATTGCTACTCTTCAATAATTTGAGAAGGTCTGTAACTGCAGATTTTCATAGTGCAATTCATCTCCTTATTTCCTGATGCCTCCTACCGAGGGCATTATTTGTGGATCTAAGTAATATGAAGCTGTTGAAAGTTTCAATCTCCTCTCCACCCATCATGACATTGTCCAGTAGTAAAAATCTGTTTTCTTGACACTGAGACACAATCCATACAGAAGACTGCATTTCTTGATCTTCTGCAACAAGTTTTCCAAGTCCTCCTCACTTTCAGCAAATACGTTTGTGTCACCTGCTTAACTCAGGGTATTACTGAATCTCCCTCAAATCCTGATGTGACATTCCACTTCATAGAGTCCAGCTTTTGGGATAATTTTCTCAGCATATAGATTTAACAGGTATGGAGATAGAATATATCCCTCACACACTCCCTTACCAATTCCAAACCATGCAGTGCTCCCATTCTCCATTCACATGACAGTGTTCTGATCCAGATATAGATTCTTCTTGAGCAAGTCATGTGCTCTGGGATTCCCATTCTTGTCAATGTCAGCCACAACTTGTCATGATCCACATAATGTAATGCCTTTGCATAGTCAATAAAGCACAAATAGACATTCTTCTCTGGTATTCTTTACTTTCAGGCAGGATTCATCTGTCATCAGCAATGATATCCCTGGTGCCACAGCCTCATCTAAAACCCACTTGAACTTTTGGCAATTCTCTATCAATATACTGTTCCAACCATTTTTTTATTAACCTTCAGCAGTATTTTGCTTGCATGTCATATAAGTGATATTGTTGAAAATTCCACATTCAGTTGGATCATCCTTCTTGGGAATTGAAACAAATATGGACCCCTCCCAATCCATTAGCCTGACAGCTGTCCTCCAAATTTCATGGCATAGACTGGTGAGTTCATCCAAGGATGCATCTGTTAATCAAAACAAGTCCATTGGTATCCCATCAATTCCTGGTGCCTTATTTTTGTCAATGCCTTCAATGTAGCTTCTGCTTCCTCTTTTATTACCCTTTGCTCCTGATCATATGGTAAAAATGGAACTGAATGTCAGAAAGAATGGATGTCATAAAGAAAAATGGAAATGTCAGAAGAGAATCTTAAAGATTGCATTGGAATATCAAGAAGCCAAATCTAAAGGGAAAACATGTTGAAGTGAAAGATCTGAACAGACAATTTCAAAGAGCAGATCTAGAGGACAAAGCAAAGTATTATAATGGAATGTATGGAGAGCTGGAATTGGAGAATAAAAGGAGAAGAACTTATTCTTCATTTCTCAAGCCAAAAGAACTGAAAACAAATTTAAGCCTCATGTTGCAATGCTGAAAGATGTTATGGACAATATTTTGAATGACCTGAAAAAATAAAAAAGGTAAAGGTAATTCACAGTGTCACAGTACCAGAAAGAATTGATTGACACTGAAAAATTTCAGGATGTACCATATGAACAGAAGATTTAAAATGTTGAAAATTTATTGTCCAAGTCTAGATGAGTTATGGCGTTATATCTAGGACAGAACCCACAATGAAAACCAAGTGTCATCAAGGACAGAAAGCTAAAATGTCTGAAATGAAATCCAAAGGACTCTGAAACTTGCTCTTCAATGCAGAGAAATTAAAAGGAGATAAATTATGTAGTAGAATATGTGAACAGGAGATGTCAAAGAGCAGTTTGAGAGGAACAGCGAAGTATTATAAGCTGGGCAAGACCTAGAGTTACAGAACCAAAGGATCCTTTGTGCAATATATTAAATGAGGTAATAATACAAAGAAACAAACAAAAAAAAACAAAACCACAAACATTAAAAGAAGATGGGGAGAATGCACAAATTACTGCATCAAATAGAACTGGCTAACACTGAACCACTTTAAGAAGTAGCATGTGATTAAAGACCAATAGTCCAAGTTACACTGAAGGTATAAAGGGGTAAATAATTCAATAGGCTCAGGTTTCCCTGAGCTTTAGGAGAACTCTGATGTTGTTGACCATGCAGAACTTTATTCATTGTCTATGTTGTTACATGTCATCGAGGCACCTGGGACACATAGCAACCTTATATACAACAGCCCTAAACCCTGCTCTAACCAGGGAGAATCTTATTGCTTCTGACAGGCCTTTCCTCATTACCTAAGTCACTGAATCAATCTGTCTCATCGAGGGTCTTCCTCTCCTGCACTGTCCCAAGCATGATGACCATCTCTAAGGACTGATCCTACCTTGCAGTATGTCCAAAGTATGTCAGACCCATTGCCTCCAAAGAACAGCCTGGATTCACCCTTTCCAGGATGGACTCGTTTGTTCACCTAGCAGTCCATGATATATTCAATACTCTTCTCCAGCATCAAAGCTCAAAGTCATAAACTCTCCTTCTATCATCCCTAGGTTTTGTCCAGCTCTCTGATGCATAGCAAGTAAATGCAAGGACCATGACCTGCATCAGGCGCACCTTGGTCTCCAGACTGGAATTGTTGCTCTTCAGTACACTGGAGAGATCTCTAACAGCGGACTTTCCCAGTGCAACTTGTCTTTTAGTTTCCTGGCTGCTGGTACCAAGAGTGTTTACTGTAGAGCCAAGCAAACTGAAGCTGTCAACAATCTCAGTCTCTTCATTACTCACCTTGATGCTGCCAATTAGCCTGGTGGGGAGAATCTTTGTTTTCTTGATGTTGATCCTCAATCCATATTGAAGGCTATAGTCCTTGACCTTCTGGAGCAAGCGCTTCAGCTCCTCCTCAGTTTCAGCAAGCAGCATTGTGTTATCTGCATAACACATATTGTTGATGATTTTTCCTCCAATCCTGAAGCCACACTTCTTCTCATAGAGCCCAATTTCTCAGATAATCTATTCTGCATAAAGATTGAAAAGATATGGAGAGAGGACACATCCTTTATGCACACCCCTTCCCTATTTTGAACCATGCAGAGTTTCCTTTCTCTGCTCTGATGATTGTTTCACGTAAGTACAATCAAGTGTTCTAGGATTCCCATTTTTCTCAGAGTCATCCACAGTTTGTTATGATCCACAGTCAAATGCCTTTGAATAGTCAATGAAACATAGATAGACATTCCTACTGTACTCTCTGCTTTTAGTCAAGTTCCATCTAACGTTAGCTATAATATACCTAGTGCTAAGCCATGTAAAAAGGAAAGATAGAGGACGGGATAAAAGGGGAGATGGAGAATGGACAAAGGAGGGAGGAGAAAGGAGAGGAGGGGAGAGAGGTGGGGAAAGGAGAGATGTGAATATTTCCTTGGAAAATGGTCAGATGGCAAATGCCCAGGTCACAACCCTAACCACCTTCAACCTACATCTGCACCTTATACTGGATCTGCATCCTGTGCTCTTGGCTCTCAATGAGAGCTTTGTGTCTGAGTTCATACTAACTTCCTCTCACTGTGTATCTTGCACAGTGATACATGGCTGTGTCCTCATTTCTCAGATTGTTGATCTGTAGATACAGTGTGTTCTTGGCATTATCTTTGGAGATGGTGAATCGGCCCTTCATGGAGCCTGCGTAGTGTGTGTTACCATCAGCAGTAATATGTGATACCCGCTGCAGGCCCTTCCCTGGAGCTTGGCGAAACCAGTTCATGTGATAGCTACTCAAGGGCAATCCAGAGGCTGCACAGGAGAGCTTCAGAGACCCCCTAGGCTGCCTCAGGTCTCCCCCAGACTCGAGCGGTTGCACCTCACACTGGACACCTGGAAACACAGTGACATTCAGATCAGGAAAATAATTACACATGTGTATTATTTCAGTCATCCTATTTAGATACACTTGCTCTCTAAAAAAATTACCTTTTATAGTAGCAACAAGGAAAATCCAGTTAAGAAGATACATAGCGATTTGTCTGTGTTCAACCCTCATTCTTGACTAAGGACACCAGAGATTCTGAGTTCTGAGGTTCCTCTTCCAGAACTTCAGGGTTGGGCTTGGGCTGCTTTTTATAAGTAGAAGAAAAGGCTCTATTTGCATGTGTTCCTCCTGTATAGTATCAAGACATGGAGTAGCTTGACTTTGTGTGTCCATAGCCCAGAGCAGACATGAGTGTTCTAGGAGGATTGGGAAGATTAATGATACCATTCTGGGGGGGAAAAGTTTCTTTTTTAATTTTTTTAAATAATCAAATTATTGAAAGTTTACAGAGCAAGTTTACGTTCCATTCAGTAATTTTTCTATGTTTTGTTTGTGACATTAATGAAAACCCCCATCTTGTAAATGCACACTTTCAACTCTCTCGTGTGATCCTGGATTCTGTTCATCTTTCTATTCTCTCTCTTCCTGCCTTCTAAGTTTTATATCTCAGCACCTCCGATCATTTTGGTCTTGAATAGTGGGTTATTGTAAGTGGGTAGACATTTTTCATATTATACTTGTTTGCCTAAAATATGAACCACTAGGATGAGTTCAAAGAATTTTTATCAGGTTGATGACTGTCTATCATATATCTATCGGAAAAGTAATCTGATCACATTTGTGTTTTTTTTAGTTTCTTTCTGATTTATCTCACAGTCCCTTCACTATGTTCTTATCTGAACTCTTTCCTAGTGGTCAGAAGTAGTAGACAGAAGACATCTATTTGTATTCTCCTCAACAGGACCTAATTTGGGCTTAATGGGCAGGACTACTATTATGGACTAATTGTTTCATTGCAAAAACAGTGTTCTTCATTGATCTTTTTCCCATACAGGTAAAGGCCATTACTTACATTTTAGAAAATCACTAGCAAGATTCTAAGACACCATTAAATACCTACCAATGTGATATCTAGAAAAACTCCAGAGACTATGGCCCTGAGGAACTAGACCAGAAACAGATTCCCTTACCGCCTCTGGTCAAGGTGAAGAAGCTAACATTATGGTGCGCCCTGGTGGCTTCACTATTTCTATGCACATATTTTCAGTGTGCGCTTCTATCCTGAGGCATATTGACATCAAATGTATGTAAGAGGATGAGTGTAATTCCTTTCTCCTTTCCAAATTAATCATCTTTTCATCTCCTTACATAGATTGTTGTTGTTGTTGTTAAGTGTCGTCGAGTCGCAGGGGACTCATAGCGACCCTATGAAGGAAAGTCCTCGACACTTTCCTGCTTTTCATCCTCTCTCCAGGTTCATACGGTTTCCGGAGAAAACAGAGTCTTTTGTTATATAACATAGAGTTTGACTGTAACCTGAGCAAGTCTTGAGTTTGTGTTTTTTTTTTCAGTTTTACTAGTATTAGAGTGTTTATTCCATTTTTTAATATACCTTCTCTTCATTTAACTTTATAAGTGTTTATCATCTAATTAGGAATATGTAATTGCATAATGCATAATTGAGCTGCTGACTGAAATATTGGTGGAAAGAAAAAGGCAAGGCTGGCTCCTCTTGTATATTTACAGCCTCAGAACCCCAGGAGAGTATCCACGAGTTGGAATCGCATTGAGGAAAGTGGATTATCAGTGTACTAACTTCTATCTCCCATCCACCTCCGTTCCTATTCCTGTTAACCATCAAAGAATATTTCCTTCTGTGTGGAAACCTTTCCTTAACTATTCACAATAGTGGTCTCATATATTTCGCTTTGTGATAACTTAGCTAAATAAGCTTCTTTTCCCTAGAGTAATCCATATCTCACTATTTATCAAATTCTTCATTACCTTTTAAGGGTGCTTCATAGTGTATTTGTGTCATAATTATTTACCCACCTATGCCTTGAGGGATACAAAGATTGCTTCCATCTATTGGCTAACACAGACAATGGTGTTAACAACATGATGTACATGAGTATGCTTGTAACTCTTCCTGCCATGTCCATTTTTTTCATTGAGACACATACCTCGTTGAAAGAGCATTGAATCAAATAATTTTATATTATCATGCTGTTGTTATGTGCTGTCAAATTGCCTGCAACTCATATTGACCCTATGTACAAACCTGAAACCCTGCTCTGACCTGTGCCAATCTCTACCTCATTATTCCAGTCACTCAATCAATACAGCTCATAGAGGATCTTCCTCTCCTGCCCTATCCCTCTGCCCTCCCAAGTGTGTCATCCTTCTCCAAAGGACTGGTCTGTCCTTGAAACTTGTCCAAAATATATCAGAAAAATCTTTAGAATACTTGCCTCCAAGGAGCAGCTTGGTTTAATCCTCTCCAGGGTTAAGCTGTTCATTTTATTAGCAGTCAATGGTATATTCAATACTCTTCTCCAATGCTAGAACTCAAACGGATCAATTCTCCTTCTATCTTCCCTAGTCATTGTCCATCATCTCTCTGACACATAGAAAATGAATGCCAAGACCATGGCCTGTATCAGCCGCAACTTAGTCTCCAGAGTGACACCATTGCTCTTCAGTACTTTGGAGTATCTCTATGCAATATATGTGCAAAGCAGACTATCTAGAAGGTTGGGATCTATGAGGAGAAATGTAGCACCAGAATGGGAGGAAGACTCATCAACAATAAGCATTATGCAGATGACACAACCCTGCTTGCTGAAATTGAGGAGGTTCTGCAATCCTTGCTGCAGAAAGTCAAGGAATACAGCCTTCAATATCAATTGAAGCTCAACATCAAGGAAACACAGATTCTCACCACTGGGTCGATTGGCAGCATCATTATAGATGGTGAAGAGATTGAGATTGTTCACAAATTTGGTTTGCTTGGCTCCATAATCAACACTCCTGGCCTAGCAGCCAGGAAATTAAAAGATATATTTTGATGGGAAAGTCTACTGTTAGTGACCTCTCCAAAGTACTTAAGAGCAATGATGTCACCCTGGACACTAAGGTGTACCTAAACTAGGCCATGGTTATAAGTGGGGTGTGTGTGTGTGTGTGTGTGTGTGTGTGTGTGCCACAGAGAGATAGAAGCAGAGAGATACTCAGTACCAAGTGAAGTAAAAAAAGGAAAGAACTTGATGAGGGGGACATTTCTCCACTCCACTTCGGTTAACACCTAACAGGAAAGAACAAATGGAGCCCATTCTCTAATGTAGCTTATTGGTTGTTGACTCTCTGCTGACTTTGTCTCAAAAGCATCAGTTATCTACCTAAAAAAATGCAAAAATAAAAGAGAAACACTTAAAAAGAAAAGCACTGAGAAAACAGATGATAGGCCCTAAAATCCCCTATATACTTTGTTCTCTTGAATTTGAAGAGATGTTATCATTCCGGACAGAAGAATCTGAACCTCTTTCCATGTCGCTGAAAAGTGATTGAATTGGTTTGTCTGAATCCATTTGTGAAATTTTATGTTTGTCTATTTTTTTAATCCATTTGAATTTAAATACTTATAATTTATGTCAAGCATCAAGAGTTAAATGTTTATTATCTGTATATCTTTTCCATCTTATTTCTTTGCCTGAATGTTCTGCAACCTCTCAGATAAATATACACTTTGTTCTTTACACATGGTCTGTATGTATTCTAATACGGAAGTGAGAAAAGAATTTAGAGAGTGCCCAGAACATTCAACTGGGAGCCTATAGTACTAAAAAGCAGAAAGAAAATTCTGTGGCAGTTCAATGAGCTGTTCCATGCTGTTTGAGATCAAAGGTCCAGGTCTCCCTGAGAAATCCAGTGATTTATGTCAAGAAGTGTGGCCTTGCCACCAAATGCTCCCCAGACGAGGGTTCCCAATACTACAAGTACAATGGTACAAGTCCCACGAGAAATAGAAACCATGTTGCCTCAAACTAAGAAGTTGTTCCCTTTAAAGCAATTTAAAGAAGATAATAAGAAATTTACATGCATCCAAAAATCTTTTTGTGTTGATCTTGTATCCTGCTACTTTGCTGAATTGGTCAACTACGTCCAATAGTTTTCTTGCTGAGTCTTTAGGGTTTTCTAAGT